TACACAGGAAAGCTGAAAGACGCTGAACTGAGAATAGCAAATATCAACACAAGTACGACTCTAAGTGACCCTACTTGCACTAGCATAGATGGTGATGCCCACCAAGGAGCCCAAGATGAAGAACCATGCGATGGTCAGTACTATGAGAATGCAGTAAACTCGATAGTGTCGATCGCGAGCACTCATCTGCTGACTACTAGACCTTAAACTAATATGTGATACCATTGAAGGGGGATAAGGCTCCATGAATCGAACTGGCTACTAGAAGAGCAGATTCCCATACTCCGATCGGTGCCAAGTCAACCTCATCGACACCTCGAATAGTGACATGAATGGAAGAGATATATTGCCCATGTATAACGCAATGCCAGTGGTACTCGGGTTTCTAGCCGTAGTATGTGTTCATCAGTACGCAGAATTTGACAGCTCCTTATGCCGACAAACAAAGTGCAAAATTGTACATCAACGACCAGGAGGTCGTCAATCCCAGATCGATCCGCCAATCTAGCGAATTCGTTCTGCAGCCAATACCTACGAGGAACCCACCATGCTGATGAACGAAGACCTCGAAAGAGTCTCACAATCTGGTTCTCGATCCCAGCGTCTTTCATACTCTTATCTTCCCTCTCGAATACTCGTCGTGGCATTCTTGAGACCAGCCGATAGTTAAGATCAGCCTCGGTGAAGTCCTGAACGCCATCATCCGCCGTAGCTGCTGCTGCCCGATCATGATCATTGAAGAGCTCCGAGTCCATCCAGTCATAGAGATCAGATACGGGCTCGCTATCTAACAACACGAGTATCGCCCGAGCAGCTCCGGTAGCCCCACTCACCCAGGAATGCTCTTTGTACTCGCTTGCCATTGAATAACCTAGCCGCTACCTACACCACATGGCATGACAATAGCCTTTAAACGTGGTGAAGCATAGACCTACTTCCACTCGCCCGGGCGTACCCTTCTCAGGTTCTGGTGGTAGACTCTCCCGTTTCCTCTTCATGGAGGACTTCAGTATCACATACTTAGCCGCTGCATCTGATATCTCCTCCTCCCTCTTTTGCTTTTGTGCCTCTCGCTCACGATCCGCCTATGAAAATACAATTTGAGAATCACATACGACAAGACAGCCATCAGTGACTGCTGCCAAGCTCTACCTTCAAACTTTCCAAATATTCCTGATCCTGAACTTCACGAGTCTCGCGGTCCACCATAGCTCTCAACCATTGAGTCTCTCGCTCGAGCCGTTCAGCCTCCGACATCTGGCTCTGCGATGACAGTACACTCGGTGATGGTCCTGAAATCTCGGCATCAGGGCAGCCTCTTACAGACCGTGCGACGGAAACAGTATCGGATCCAA